AGGTATTTTGTGGGCTAACGGGTTATAGTCCAGTGGAAAAGGGTATTGATTTGTAGACTAATGGTGTCAAGTTCGAACCTTCATAACACCTTAACAATGTGTGAGAAAACCCCTCCCCCAATATCATTTGTATTATAAAAATTAAAAAAAACAATTGGTGTTCAAACTACCTTCCGAACTTTAACCCCAACAAGACTATTTTTTTCACCACATATTCCTCATCCTGGTTTCAAGCCCTTTTTCCATTTTCCTCAAGATTCTCCTAAAATCTATTGTTATGGAATGCATATTGAAGATTTGATCACATTCATGTTTTATCTATTGAGCTCTAATTGGAGGGTCTAGCTAGTGGTGTTGTTGGATCAACATTCTATTGGAGGATTAACAAGAGGGTCTTACCTTACTGCCAAGGAATGTACCCCTAAATTTCCCATAGAGACTAGTGTAGTTTCCTCTAATTATTGACTAGGAAATATAGTTTGAACATCTACATTTTCACTTGTTTTAATCTTTTGAAACAACTATACAACCTCATAAAAAAGGAAGAATCACAACATAAAATCTTGAGGAAAAAATAAAGAAATTTGAACATAGAACATTGTGTGCAAAAATAAATACTCATAATCACTTAGGGTTCATTTGTAAGCCAAAATCACTTTTAGGGAAAAACGCTCCCCATTTGCTTTTCTATTTTCTTTTATTTTTTGTTTGGTCATTTTTTTGAGGTATAATTATAACTAAATTTTCCATGAAAATTTGGAGCGAATCGAATTAATCAATCAATCAATCAATCAATCAATCAATCAATAACAATACGCACCCGTACACAATGACAAATTTGCCCATGAGTCAAGTTTAAAATTGCATACGATCGAGCGACTCTATAGCATCTATCATCTATGACACACCCTCTTCGACTTCTCCAAAGCTCCTCTCTCTCTTGAAACCCTAGATCGAGCTCTGATAGATCGGCTCCAAACTTTACGGTGATTACAGAAACTTCAGGTAACAGTTCATCCTTTTATAAAATAAAAATATATATGTTTAATTTCTGTTTCTCTGCTTTCGGAAAATAAAATAGAAAAGAAAATCTGAATTAGTAGCAGCGTAGTATTCCCTGTTGTATTTTCTGGTTTTGGTATGGGTTTAGAGAAATGAGAAGCAAAATTGGTTATAATTGTGGCTGAATTCGTAGTAAAACGGTGCCTTCTAGTGATTATTGGGGATTTTCTGATCATTCTGCTGCTTAGATCGTCCAGGCATTCTGTCTCTCAACATGTTTGGTTGCTGAGAAAATTAAGGGAACGCAGGGAAAATCAAGATTCACTATCGATCCAGGAAAGTCATGTGGGAATATTGAGCTAAGAAGAGAATAATATAAAGAAATTGAAATTTGGTTTCTCGGATGTGTTTAGTGTGAGAAAAAAAGAAGAGAAAACAGAATGGAAATGGAAAACTAGTTTCAAGTAACTTAGATAGTTATTCCTGGCTTGTTTAACTTAATTATTATTTTTTTCAAAGAAGCATTGAGTCAGTGCAGTATGGTTAAATTAGGATGATATTAGTTGTTTTTTAGGTTTTTACAAAACTGGAAAAAAGAGAGGAAAATGAAGTCCTCATTGGTCATCCCAGTTAAGCAGATATATATTGTTGTAACTGAAAGTATATATATATATTTGTTAGCAGTTAACAAGCTTAGGTGAGGATTCTTTTTTATGATGTCTATTGGCGCAAAAAGAAAAAGAAATATGTTGTTGAATAATGAGTTGGTTTAGTTATTTGTCCTTCAGGCTGTCTTCTTAAAACTAGTTCAAAATGGTTGATAGCAACCCAACTTCTGGATCACCTGAAGACACTCCAAACCCCAATCCTGATGGAAATGCACCCTCTGAGAATGACCTTACACTTGATTCTCTATCCCGAAAGGTTCAAGAATCTCTCTCTATTGGAAAGAAACATAAATTTTGGGAAACCCAACCTGTTGGGCAATTCAAGGACCTCGGGGACAACAGTTTGACTGAAGGTCCAATTGAGGACCCAACACCATTATCTGAAGTCAAACAGGAACCGTACAAACTTCCTAATCTCTATGAATGGACCACATGTGATATAGACTCTGAAGAGATGTGCACTGAGGTCTATAACCTTCTTACAAATAACTATGTTGAGGATGATGAGAACATGTTTAGATTTAATTATTCTAAGGAATTTCTTCGTTGGGCGCTACGGCCTCCAGGTTATTTCAGGAGTTGGCACATTGGTGTCCGGGTCATAAGTTCAAAGAAGTTGGTTGCCTTCATTACTGGTGTTCCTTCTAGAATCCGGGTTCGTAATGATGTTGTTACCATGGCAGAGATTAATTTCTTATGTGTTCATAAGAAGCTTAGATCAAAGAGACTTGCTCCTGTTATGATCAAAGAGGTGACTAGGAGGGTTCACTTGGAGAATATATGGCAAGCTGCTTATACTGCTGGTGTTGTTCTCCCTACGCCTATATCAACTTGCCAATATTGGCACAGATCTTTGAATCCAAAGAAGCTGATTGATGTTGGGTTCTCCAGACTTGGTGCAAGAATGACAATGAGTCGAACAATCAAACTTTACAAGTTACCAGAGTCAACAGTCACCCCAGGGTTCAGAAAAATGGAGCTCCATGATGTTCCTGCAGTTACACGGCTACTTAGGGATTATTTGAGCCAGTTTGTTGTTGCACCTGATCTTGATGAAAACGACGTGGAGCACTGGCTTCTTCCAAAGGAGAATGTTGTGAACAGTTATCTAGTTGAAAGTCCAGAAACTCATGAAATCACTGATTTCTGCAGTTTTTACACTCTTCCTTCGACTATCCTTGGCAGTCAGAATTATTCGTCTTTAAAAGCAGCTTATTCCTATTATAATGTTTCGACAAAGACGCCTTTGCTACAGTTGATGAATGATGCTCTTATTGTTGCAAAGCGCAACGATTATGATGTTTTCAATGCATTGGATGTCATGCAAAATGAATCATTCTTGAAGGAACTAAAATTTGGGCCAGGTGATGGTAAGCTTCATTATTATCTCTACAATTATCGGATCAGAAGTGCATTGAGACCGTCGGAGCTCGGGCTTGTGCTCTTATAAATCTGAGCCCTGATATTTGGATTGTGGCGTCAACTAGGAGCCACTTTAGGTTATTTGTGCTCATAATATTGATTGTGAGGTTGCATTGTTTGTGGGATACCACTCCTTCAGATTCTTAGGTTGTCTGCCAGTCGAGCAATTTTGTGAAAGTTTCTTTGGTGGAATTTCTATTGTTAAGACCCAAAGAATACTGAAATGCTGACTGGCTGTTAGTCTTTCCATGAATTTCATTTGATGTGGACTTTGATTCGAGGCATGTTTATTTGGGCCAGGCACAATTCAGACTAGTTCGATTTCGTCCATTTATTGGTTGGTTTGGTTTTGACAACGCGGGGAGATGAAGATGAAGATGGTAATGGACTAGATGAAGTAAAATGCGGAAAAATGCACCGATTTTAAATGTAGAGACTCATCGAGGGAGGGTAAGATTGAGAGATGAGAGGGGGAGCAATTGATTATCCAGAGTGGTTTTATTAATTTAGTGCATGCAATCTCATATTTATTCATTCAACCAACGAATAATAACTTGACACACAACAATAATGTCATTAAAATAATCCACAATTTGATTCGGTTCGATTTATCAACTGATAACTTTTCTTGTGTTAATTTGGTCGATTTGATGGGTTATAAAATGCCCAACCCTGTCACCCCTGGATAATTGTCGCTCCATCAACAAAAGTAGCTTGTTTGGTGATGTTCCTATTCTTATAAGTTTCATTTCCGATTTAATCTTATCTTACAAATTGTCTGACAATTCTCAAAACCAAACATGATCCTAACGGGTGTATTCAATTGAGATTTTAATAATATTATAAACAAGTCTTGTGGTATTCAATTAAGACTTTTAATTGATATAAACAAGTTTTATGGTAGTCCATTAAGACTATTAGGATTTTTAAAGAAGAGTTACCAAATCTAGTGGTATTCAATCAAGACTTTAAACAAGTAACTAAAAAGTCATATAGTATTTAAAAACTTGCTAATTTCAAAGGATTCTTTTAAATGTGGAATTGTGTGGAATTTTTTAGTGGGAACTATAAATATCAAACCCCATCTCAAATCTCACCCTAAACCGTCGGATTTTTTGTGTGAGATTTTTTTCTCTGCTGGCGTTGAAGATTTCATCAACCCATGTGCTCGGCATATAGTTGTCTCTGCTCCAAAAGCCAAAGAACTTGTGGTGAAGATGGAGGTATAATAATAACCTGACTTTTCTTCATGTTGATGAACGGGCTTGCTTGCTTTTAAATAGAAGAAATGTTTCTGGATATTAATAAAACAAACAAAATTAAATCCACAATGTGTTTTTGGCAGCAATACACTCCTTTCCATGAACATGTTGCTTCTCATGAAAGCTGGCAAATGGAGCAACTCGGTAGTTTTGTAAGCAAAGAAACCGCAAGGTGAAGCTATTATTGGTGATAGGTCTTTCACCTAAATTGTTTCCTAATGTGATTCATTACACTTGAGTTGTGTGGAAGAATCTATTTACAAGGTCCCTGGTGGACATGGTGGGCTGTTGTGCAACCCCTTGGAGCCGCCCACCACCTGTTTGATGGGAAACTCCAAAGAGCTTCCCCATTTTGTGCAGCAGCAGCAGTTGCTGCATGGAGCCGCCCACCACCTGACGGGAAACTCCAAAGAGCTTCCCCATTTTGAGCAGCAGCAGCAGTTGCCGCATGGAGCCGCCCACCACCTGCTTGGAAGCTCGCTGATAACTTGGACTGTTAGCTAGCTAGCTAGGACGAAGAACAATATGAAATCATTAGATGGACAATCCTTTATTTAGAATAATGAAAATCTAATAATAATGAAGTTAAATTCAAGGAACTTTTATAGTTGATTTCAACATGTTTGAGAGCCTTTTGATCTGTCACTTTAGAAAATCCCAGTTCATATTTGTCTCTTTCTAGGTAAAATTGGCCTCACTGCATGTATATATAGAAGTGCCAAACAAATCACATGCATTACTCAGGAACTCACATACTGTGTTGTGGACATCTTCTCTCATTAATTTTCCTACAAATAGGTTAACAGGACATCTATAAATGGTGGGTGACATGGCACTAGTACCCTAACAGAGCACAATGTGCTCCATCATGGCTGTGATTATAGTCCTGCATAATGGATCTTGTCACTTGTGGTTGCTTAATCCAAGTCATGGTGGACCACAAGAGTGGAGAGGTGTAGTCATGCCATGAACAAGAGGCTAACTCTAAATAGGGATGATGATGGATAGTTAAATCCATGTGGTCCTTTCAAATCTTATAAATCCTATGATATAAATCTTTCAAAATCCATAAGTAAAAAATCTTGATTATAGAAATCCATAAATCAAATCCTATAAGTCATTATATTCTGCATAAATCCACTAGACTTTTTTTTATCCCTAAATAGTCTTTTAAAATCCCAATTGAATACATATTGGAAATGAGCCTCTGCCTATTCTTTTGATATCGTCAACTAGATAGAAAGGGAATGCTAAAAAGCCCTAATTAAACCATGTCCACGCTTTTAATCTTCCCAGTTCCTAATGGGCATGTAACATTGAACCAACCCTAGACTTCGAGCAGCTAGAGTACACAAGTCAAACAGACAAAAACACCTAGGCAAACACCTTACAAGCAGATAGCTGTAGGTTGAATCCAGGCACACTCAAAACACCATCCAAATGGAATTGACTTCTGGTATAACAGCATACTAATGCATTTTCATGAAAAGGAAGGAGCTTAAACTGTGTGATTGGATCAACGAATTTACATACGGATAAGTTACAAGGAATCCACTAATCAGACTTACAGTTGATGACCTACGCCAAGGTGACAACTTCACCACGTGAACCTGTAAGATTGAAACAAACGTTATGAAGGTAAGACGGATCAAGATAATGGAAAGACTAACAATGACTAAAGTAAGCATATGCGTTTCCGACATTACATCGTTCATAAATCTCTTCAATTAGCTGTAAAACTGACTCATTATCTTCTGTCATCTTTGAAATCCTGTCTGCTTCCTTCATTGCTACAGCAGCCACAAAGGATTTCTCTTCAGCGTCTGCAAGTTTATAGGCAGCAGTTTCAGCTGCATCCTGCACTGTTTCAGTAAATGTCATTGACCCAGAATTCTGCAATTTCCGGGGCCTAATATCCCTATGATTTCGCGTGGGTGTAGGTGTTTTTGTTCCAAATGTTGCATCTTTTTTTAACTTGTAGCCATTTTGCACCTACATTTAGGAGGAAGGGAAATCTCAGAATGTTTAAGCATCATTAGAGTGTCGTATAATTGGGAACAAAATTTTGACAGGACAGAAGCACTCAACATAGCAACATAGAGAAATGTTAGAAAGAAAATAGAAGTACTAAAAAATCATAAACCTTTTCCAGTTTTCCTTGTGAAACAAGCCTTCTCAACCTTGGACCCAATAACCTTCTGAAATTTGGTGGTACGGGTACCTCATGCCTTTGCTGCAGTATGTTTATCAAGACAGTCACCATCTTTCTTGTACTAAGATGAAATTTAAAAAGACAGCTAGAGATTAATTGCTAACTCAAAAATACAAGTGAGAGGCAAGGAGTCAGCAACTGTGCCATTCTGCTGCTCAGATAAAGAAATATGAAGTCAACTGGTAACCCCATGGAAGGTGAATGAAACTAACATATACCTTCCCAACCTTACACAGCTCGAGTCTTTGGTTCAGGCAACAAAATTTTAATTTTAAATATATGGTGAGTTGAAAAGATTCATGCAATGCAGGATTCTTCCCATCATAATTCCTTTACATTTCAGCAGCAGGGTTCCCAACTAAGCTACGAATATTCCATAAGCTAATACAGTTTTTTCAGAATAAATGGATTTGATAAGATATTTTTAATAACACATAACAAAAGACCTCTTTCTGACCTCAATAAAGTTAAGAATGGCACCTAAATCAGATCCATTCATATCTTTCATCGTTGAAAGGGCCTGGAAAATCATTGGATCGTACCTGTTGAACATAGTTTTAAAAAATAAAATAAATAAAGAATGGATCAAGTACCTTGAAGATACCTCAAACAAAAACCTATCCATAAGGCAGAAGAATTACATTAACAAGTGTGGCTATCAACTCTAAAAAAAAACAGAATAATTTTAGAATGGTTAAGACAGTAAATAGCACAGTTTTAACTTGTGATAAATAATGGAACAATCAAACTAACGAACAAACTAAATTTCGATTTCTATCACAATAGAGGTTGCACGATTGCATCTATATCATACAAACATGCTGGATCTGTAGTAAATAGCTCATTTCCTCCTACCATACTATATCATAATACACAAAAGGTCAACGCTGGCTCTATCTAGTTTAAGAAATTTAGACAGCTTTGACATTTTCAAAGATCTCTAATGCCCCCTTAAACTGTGTTTCAACCCAGTCCAAGAGAAGCAAACGTATTTCAATTCTTAATTCAAGTTGTCTGAAAAGAGGAAAATTGAAAGAGCTCTGCTCAGCAGCATATTGGGATTCAGGAATATATCCCTCCATCTTTGGCAACCATAATCTAAAATGTTTTATAAGACATACCGTACATTTCTAGACTTTCTACTACAATTTAAACACAGTCAAAAACATCATGTTTATTTAAAACGCGGTCTAAAAAAAAAAAGCAGTATCAACAAGAAATATGTAACACAGTTTCTATCGACTGACAACATAAGGATCAGAAAAACACGCACTGTGAAGCACTTTTCAATTCTGGTGCGCTATTAACCGCATCGTCCATCATGGCATCAGGAGATGCATTGGGACAAACTGAAGCAGGAGATGCATTGGGACGAGCTGACGCAGGAGATGAATTGGGAGGAGCTGAAGCAGGAGATGCATTGGGACGAACCGAAGCAGTAGGAGCAGAGTTCTGAACAAGGTGATGGGCAGCCGCACAATTTTTTACCTTTGTACCCCTTGGTCTGTCCTTAGAACCATGTCCAGAAGTACTAACACTCAAGTTCCTCCACTTATCCTGATACAAGAGCAAAAATGAGACAAGTAAACAGCTTTTTTTTCTTTTTCGAAAAACAAAAAAAAAAAAACAAAAGAAGGGACCAAACAGCAAAAATGAGACAAGTAAACAGCATTTGAAAACCATCATATGTTAAAAACGAAAGAAGAGACCAGAGAGAGTCACATTTTACGGGCTACTTCAATTCCATGAAGCTTTACAGCAGCAGCCAATACAAAACATAACCAAATGCACATTGGACAAAACCAAACCTAGGGTTTCTTTCCCTCTGTTTTCTAAGCAGGAAATTACATATTTCTCAGAACTTGAATTAATTATCTATCTGTCTAACAGTTCAATCAACCACCACCAATTCAGCTTTCACAAAACCAAAATTTTTATTTATTTATTAATTTTAAAACTTGTCAACACAAACAAAAACAAAAACAGAGGGAAAGAGGGAAGTAAGTGGCAATATATGTAAATAGGAGGGAACCTTGAGGTCGATATTGGAGCGGTGTATTAGGACACGGGCAAATTCGGGATCTTTGAGAATGTTCTTCCACTTGCCCGGGCCGTGCTTTGCAACTCCGGCCAGTAGGCCTTCTTCCTCCTCCGCCGTCCATTTTTGCTTTTGGTTTCCCATTATACGTTCCTTCTCTCTCTCTCTCTCTCTCTCTCTCCCCCCTCAAAGCTCTCTCCCTGTTCTCTGTCTAAAGCCCTCTCTCTCTCTCTCTCTCTGTCTCTCTCTCTCTCACTCACTCTGTCTCTCTCTTAAACAGTTTTCGAGGGAAGAGGACGACATCTGTCTCTCTCCCGCTTCCCGTGTCCTTTCGTTTATTTGGATAAAGCCCATGTTAGAAGATCGATGTCTTGATGGGCCCAGACACGCAACATTATACTTTGCGGCCCAATAATTCTTTATAAATTCAAATGGCCCCCAATTATTTTTATTTTATAAATTAAAAAAAAAACTACTTTTCACAAGTGTGGAAGGTTTGTTGGTTTGGTCAAAGATATGGATTTTGGCTCTTTAAAGCTATGAAGGTCTAATATGAGGAGCTTAAACAAATGGTTAGCTTAAATTTTAAAATTATCCCTCAACAAAAATTAAAAAAAAAACTATAGTTTTATGCAAAATCTGAAGGTCCACTCCATTATTTGGTTCAAATATATAACTTGATGATGCTCCTTTCACACTAGAATTGGCATTTCAAATTAGAGTAAGGAATGCACATTTCATTCATACAATTCACTTTACTCTCAAATATTTCAACTTCCAAAACTCATACCTTGATAAGGAGCATGTGACTCTAAATTTAAGTTCCGAAATTGAACTTGAATCAACATACCAAACCAAGAACCCTAGAAACAAACTAATTTTTAGTACTCAATGAAACGAGACTTAAAACCCTAAATTCGACATGGAATTTGGGACAAGAAACTTGAGCCTAGATTTGATTCCAATTTACAACCAAGTTATATAATTTCTATTTCACTCTCATTAGTCATTTCCATTTCATTCCTTCATGCAACCAAACATCCCTATAGCATGGAGAATAAACTTTTGATTGTGAATAAAATCATTAGGAAAAAAAGGTCAAGTTATACTTTTGGCTTTTAAAATTTGTTTTTGGAGTTGTTTAAATAGAAATTCTATATGTAGGACATCATGTAAAAAGATCATATTATCGATATGCGTATCAATCTAGTGATAATATGTTGATACGTTTTGTTAATGGCAATGATATCGACACATTATCGATGTCATATCGAAACATTATCGATGTCATATCGACAACCCAATATTTATTAAAGAACGAACATCATGCACAAAGCCCGACTAGCGGTCGGTTTTAAACCCAAGAAAGATATCTTGTTTTTATTTTTATTTTATTTTTTGCTAAACTATGGCCCCAACAAAAAAAGGACCATTTCAGCTGTAAAAATTTGACGGCTCGTGAAATGCAGCAAGCACACCTACTCAGTGAGGTAGTGAGTTTTGTAAGCTTAAACAAAGTTAGGTAATTCCAGAAAGGCGGGCGCCTACTCATCTCAACAAACAAACAAATAAACAAATAAACAAAGCCCAGCCCAAAAACTCTCTCTTTGCATCTCCTCCTCCATTTCAGTTTCTCTCCACCGCACAAATATAATTCACAAAAACCTATATATATTTTACTAAGTCAGTGCGATCTGGTTCGATCATCGAACCCTAACACCCCTGCTTCACTGTTTTTTTTCTGGGTATTTGATCGGTTTGGTACCAGAAAAATGTCTTACGCATCTCATATCATCCACCACTCGAAAAAGGTGAGCTTCAATTTCACCATTTCTCTCATGAAAATTTTATTTATTTTGTCACTTTTTGCCTTTTGGTGATAATTTTCAGAGTTTTAGTGATTGGTTTTTATTCAGTCATTGAGATTCTCAATTTAAAGCTTATTGCGTTAATGGGTTTGTAGCCAGGCACTGCGTTTTTACTGTTTTAGTTTCACAAATCTTGAATCTCAGCCTCGTTTTAGATTTGATTATATTGATTTAATTCACTCGAAGACTTAAATTCTCTAACTTGGTAGTAATTGGAAGATACTGTTTATACTTCAGTATAACTTTTCATTCTTTTTGATTAACTCGAAATTTGATAGCGAGTAGGGACTGTCTTCTGTATATATTTCTTTTATGTGGTCTTTGTTTCTTTGTTTTTTGAGGCTGGGCGTGTGTTTATATAGATGGAGGTAGGTGGTGTTACTTTCAGACTGAATTCTCTCAAATGGGTAATTTAGCTATACTATGTCCAGGGTGTTATTAATTTGAATTTTACTAGTTTTGGAATTTTAGGCAGAGTATCATGCTTTTTGAAGTCTAGTTTTTGGGTTTTTTTGTTGATACAAGTTTTTCTATTTATGTTGTAGTTACCATGACCAAATAGTGTTTGCAAGCTAACATTGCCCAATTAACCAAATAGTGTTTACTAGCTAACGTTGCCGAATTAAGATAGGCAATTATATAAAATGTATTGCTCTTGTTTTTTTTGTTTTGTTTTTCTGTTTGTAGGTGTTTTATATCATTGATTTAGGTATGTTTCAATTATTAATCTATGTAACTTATGGTTCTTAAGACGTAATTTTGTACAATATTTGTGTGCACTGCAGTTAAGGAATGCTCCCAACTTACTACGGCAAGAGCAGGCCCTCTTGGTTCGTTTTTTTTCTCATGATGCTCAACCATCTATTGGTAAGTGAAATGGAATGCCCCCTTTTTTTCTTGTGGTGTATGTATGTATTTGTTTCAAGTGTTAACTAGTTCTTCCTGTCAATTTCTCAAGCTAATCTTGCTTATGAGTACAGAAGTAGCTAATCCTGATAAATTGTTACCATGAATATGTTTTGTTCAGACCTGATGGTTAGAATTAAGCAGATTAAATAAGGTGATATTGTAGATATGAGATGATGAAGCTGATCCTATGTTATTTATTTTTTTGTTTTTTTTGTTTTCCGTGTGAAATGAAATAAGTAATAACTTGCTGACCTGATGACCTAACTGCATTAGTTTACTATGGCTGTCTTTAAGCTGGAGTCCAGGGATTTCCTAGTAGGTTTTTTAAAGGTTTCTTGTTGTACAATGTGTGACACAAGATATATGGCGTCATTTGGATGCAACTAGCCACTTGGATTATTTCTCTAATTGCTTCCGAATTTTGTTTAGTTGATTTAAGCAAGGTCAATTTTATCTCAGATATATGGAAGGCCCATCGCCACAGTTATTTGCCTTCAGAAAGAGCAAGGGTTTGTAGGTCTTTCAGCAGTACCACTGTAAGTTAAACTAGTTTCCATCATGTTAATATGGCAATAGATGCAAAAGTTTTAATCGTTTATCTTTTATTTATTTATTTTTATTAGTAATCTTTTCACAAACTTTTTAATTTTTTTTTACAAAGTGAACTTTGTATCAATTATATAACACCATCATATGTCGTGTTTTGTAGAAATCATTGTCGGGTACATTTACCAGGGATGTCTCAACGACAATGAAACTAGGAAATTCACTCTCTGGTTCGGTATCCAACAAACAGCTTTCATGGTATGCTGTCCTAGATTTTGTTACTTTGTATCTGTGTGGAAAATTCTTATTTGATACATCTGCTTTTCCCTTATATCAGTATGCAGGTGCAATTGAGGAGAGGCTTTTCATCCGATGCAGGTATGATCTTGGTCTTTTGCATCTATCTAATTTTGTTATGCACTTTTGTGTCATTGAGTGAACATTGGCTTTTGGATCTCCTAGTATGATGATGCATTTCATGTTCCTTATAAGAGCTGCTTCAACTACACAAGTTTCTAGCATAGAGCCATAATAATTTATTATCTGTTCAGAGATTTCTCAAGCTCATCTATTTCTAGGTTAGTCATGATGGAAATAGAAAGTGTATTGTTGTCATCAATGACTGTGGCTTTGTTGTGTTGGTTAATTTTTCATTCCCATAACTCTATTTGGATATTTTTAAGGTTCGAGGGTAGGTACTAGCCATTAATCTTCTAATAATGATTTATTTATTATATTTTCAAGATCCCTGCTACTTTAATGCATAGGGAAGTAGTTTTCTTAATGTGAGTTTATTTCAACATATTGTGAGTGTGTGCACATGTGTGCATGGATCAACATTTCTCATCTTCTAGTTTGTTCAGCATAATTGCACAGCAGGATTCCAAAAAAAATTGTGTGAAACTGTGAGATTATTGTGAATATTTTATTTGATTATTTTTGGGATATGCATCTCCTTTTGAAGTGCGATCTTCTTTCATTTTGTACTTTTGAATTGGTCATCCTCAAAAGTGTTATCTTGAGTCATATGATCATCTAACTCATCTGTGCAACACCCTTCAGCCCTTCCTCCACACCAAGAACTTGGAATGCCTTCTCTTTCACCCACTATGTCTGAGGTACATACTGTTTTGAGGCTTATTGGAATGTCATACCTTCCCAAATTTACTGTTTCCTTCTAAGTCATGCTTTTATGATATGCAGGGTAATATTGCAAGGTGGTTGAAGAAAGAGGGCGACAAAGTTTCTCCTGGTGAAGTGCTCTGTGAAGTTGAAACTGTAGGTTCCTGTACTTTACATCCACTTACCTGTTGAGGCTGTTGATTGCGTATCTGCATATTGTTAGTTTTATGTGCTTCTTTTCATGATGGAAAGCTGACATGTACTTTATATCCACCTACGTGTTAAGGATAAAGCTACAGTGGAGATGGAAAGCATGGAAGACGGTTATCTTGCCAAGATTGTACGAGGAGATGGGACCCAAGGAATCAAAGTTGGTGAGGTATTGATTTAGTTCACTGTTATGGAACTTGGGTGGATGTTTATTTCATCATTCCAATGGGAGTAAATTAGGCTAAATTGAAAGAAACATCTTGGCATAATGTGAGTACTTGCTAATGGCGTTGGCACATAGGTGATTGCAATAACTGTTGAAGATGAGGAAGATATTGCAAAATTTAAAGATTACACACCATCAACATCAGGTGCCGGTGCTGCTGCAGCTAAAGAGTCACCTGAGCCTACCCCTCCCAAAAAGGAGGTGGTTGTAGAACCAGTTACTTCTCCAGAGCCAAAGGTTTCAAAGCCCAGTGCAGCTGCCCCTTCTGGAGATCGCATATTCGCTAGTCCTCTTGCAAGAAACTTGGCTGAAGAGCACAAGGTATGCCATATCAATTGCTGTGGCTGAGTTATTATCATTTGATGGTAGGAAACACTTACCGTCATTGAGCCAATTCTGATTTCTGTGTTGCTTTAGGTGCCCCT